GTATATATGTATATATATACACAGGCGCCCGCCACCGTACCCGGCTCATTTTTTGTATTTTTAGTAGAGACGGGGTTTCACTGTGATCTCGATCTCCTGACCTCGGGATCCGCCCGCCTCGGCCTCCCAAAGTGCTGGGATTACAGGCGTGAGCCACCGCGCCCGGCCGGTAACTGTATATTTAACCATTTAAGGAACTTACAGATAGTTTTCTAAAGTGGCTCTACCATTTTACATTCTCACCAGCAATCTATGAGGGTTTCAATTTATCCATATTCTCATCAACGCTTGTTAGTCTCTGTCTTTTTTTAAAGTTATAGCCATTCTAATGGGGATAAAGTGGTATCTCGTCATGGTTTTTATTTGCATTTCCCTGGTGGCTAATGATGTTGAACAGTTTTCAAGTGCATATTGGCTATTTTAATATCTTATTTGGAGAAATGTCTAAAATGTTATAATTTTAACTCTATATTCATGATGCATCCCCATCAACTTCCATTTTAGGAAATAAGTTTGAGCTGGTGACATGAGAATTAAGGAAAAATCCAGTTACGAAAAGCTACATGTTATGTAATTTCATTGATACAAAATGTATGGAATAGCAAATCCATGGAGACAGAGATCATTGGTTACTTAGGGCTTTGGAAGGGGGGAAATGGAGAATTACAACTAATGGTTGAAAGATTTCCTTTTGGAGTGATGAAAATGTTCTAAAATTGTGGTAATGGTTATACAACTCTGTAGACATACTAAAAATGATTAAATTGTATACTTTAAATAGGTGGACTTTATTATATGTAAATTATGTCTCAATACAGCTGTTTCACAAAGCCAGAGTAAAAAGAAACAAAAACAAAAACAAGAAGTAGGCAGCTAGTCCTTTTGGGTATCTATCTGTTGAACTCACAATATTATACTTTCCTTCTTGATAGTTTGCATAGCTCCTAAGTGATGCTTAGTTAGAACAGAGAACAAATAATATGACATGCACATTTGTTAACCTCTTTATTCTGAAACCAAGTATCACTTAGTTCTAAAACAGAGTATATATCTTTTCCTTCTATTTTAGAGTAATAATTCAGATAAAGTTAACATTTCCAATAAAAATTGAGGTTTTTTATTTTTGATGTGTTCTATTTTAAGCTAATAACGAAAACTTCAAAGTATAGTAAATTAATGCCTTCCTCATTTGGCACTTTTTCAAAAAACTTTTACTGAGAGTTTGCCATATGACAAACATTGCGCTAGACAATTTTACATGTTGTTTTATTAATTCCACTTTATAGCTCAAAAGACTGGGGTTTCTGTTTTTATTTCATTTAATAGCATACTTTTGACTGTGCTATGATAGCGACAGTAATGCCCAATTCATATCATTTCCCTTGGAATATCTTCAGAATATAAAAGTTATAGGCATTCTGGTTCAGAAGAGAAGATAGAAGGGAAAAAGGTCACTGGTTTTAAGCAATGTTGAAATCTAGCCAAGCATGTTTCCATAAGTAATGCTTAGATTCTTTTATTAGAAAAATAATCTGGGCCAGGTGCAGTAGCTCACGCCTGTAATCCCAGCAGTTTGGGAGGCTGAGGTGGGTGGATTACCTGAGGTCAGAAGGTCAAGACCAGCCTGATCAACATGGTGAAACCCCTTCTGTACGAAAAATACAAAAAAATTAGCTGGGTATGGTGGCAGGTGCCTGTAATCCCAGCTACTTCAGAGCTACCTGGGAGGCTGAGGCAAGAGAATTGCTTGAACCTGTGAGGCGGAGGTTGCGGTGAGGTGAGCCGAGATTGCGCCACTGCACTCCAGCCTGGGTAACAGAAGGAGACTCTGTCTTAAAACAACAACAACAACAAAGAAAAATAATCTGTCTTCTTGTCAAAGTATTTGATAAAACAAAATCCACATGGATTCCTAAAGTGACTTTTTTTCTTTTTTTGTGGAGAATGGGGAAAAAATTGGAAGCCAATTCTTAGTTTGAAAATTATCCAGAAAACGACCTGGAATTTTTTGTTAGTTAAAAGGTTTTCTCATCAAGGTAGATTATTTTAATCCACATTTGAAATAAATGAGAACTTTTAACTGGAGTCTAATTCTTTAGACTTCTTTATCTAATGAAATTATATTCCAAAAATTAAGAAAAATTTTCTGACAAAAAGCCAAGATAATTCATTGCTTTTGGAACTTCATTAAAAGAAGGGAGTTCTTCAGGCAGAAGAGAAGTGATACCAGGTAAAATTTAGACCCTTCTTTTAAAGATAAAATGTCTTTTGTCTTTACCAATCTTTCATCATTTCTGGCACTCTACATTCTTTTGACTAAAAGAATTTAAAAAAATCTTTAAAAGATACTTCATTGCTTAAGGCCAAAATAATGACAATTGATTGTGGGGTTTATAACACATGTAGAAGTAAAATGCATAGCAATAATAGCATAATGGATAGGAGAGGGAAATGGAGGTGTGCTATTGTAAACTTTTTATAGCTTGTGTAATGATATATCACTTGAAGTTAGCATGAGATAGGTTAAAGATGTATGTTGTAAACCCTGAGAAGTCACTAAAAAGGTAAAACAAAGAGGTATGGCAAATAAGACAATAGTGAAGATAAAATGGGATACAAAAATGCTTAATCCAAAACTAGCCAGGAAAAGAGGAACAAGGTACAAAGAAAAGATGGAGCATTGAGCACTATTAGAAAGATGATAGATTTTCAACCATACCATATTAATAATTATATGTTGATAAATACATAAGTAGGCAATTATATTACACATAATATGCAAATTGTTAGACTAACTAAAAAGCAAGACCCATCTTTGTCCTGTTTATAAGGGATCCACTTTGAATATAAAGTCACAGGTGAGTTAAAGTAAAAGAATGGAAAACACAGTATTAAGCAAACACTAGTCAAAAGAAGCCAGAAGATGATATGTTAGTGTTGAAGTGGACTTTAGAACAAAGAATATTACCAGGAATAAAGATGTTACATATTAATGATAGGATCAATCTACTATGAGAATATAAACAGTTCTAAATGTTTATACAACTAACATCTCAGCTTCAAAATACTTGAGGAAAAACTGATACAACTGAATCCTTTTCTTTCTTGGAAACTTTTAAGCTCCGCAATAGCAATTCTATTAACTATTTGAATTTTTAAGCATCTAAATCCCATGGATGAGATTTTTAGATGTTTTATACAGGAGCATCCTACTGCCAATTACCAAAATCTGTATTAGTTCTACAGATCCTTCCTAGATAAACCAATCTCTATTTTTGCCTTCAGCTCAGATGGATAAGAAGGAATTAATGTATGACATCTAAACTATTAATATAAACACTGTTTTTGTGAAGACAAAATTCTAACTCCAACATGGGCACCTTAAGCGTATTAATTAAAATGTTTATTCAAAAATACCAACTACATACCAAGTATTTTATATATGCTATATAATTCACACAATAACCTTTATTGCACATAAGGAAACTGGGCCATAATGAGATTGTGTACTTGCTCAAGGTCACACAGGAAAGGCCAGAGCTGAGATTTGAACTCAGATCTGTTTGTTGTTGAGTCTGTGATCTTTCTACCACATCACATTCTTTCTCTCGAAAACACACAATGACTTGAAATAAAATAAAAAATAATTGAACTGGAATTTGTGTGTGAATGTAAGTGACCATCATTCCCTGAATCATCAAAGAGACTGGAAAAGAAGGGAATGCCATTTGTTGGTTAACTGCTTTTGTTCTAGAGAACTACTAAACATAACTGCAGTTAGTTTAGGTAGAGACTCCATTCTATAGGAGCCATACATACTAGTATAGTCTAAAGGCCTATAAGAGACCATGCAAAATTTACAGTAATGTGTAGTCTGTAATTTCACAAATCTATATACAGCACTGCTACATTAATATTCGTTGAATGACTGAATGAATAGATAGTATTTCTGTAGTCAAATGATAATATCATGGGATTTTAGTATTATCAATTCACCAGTTTAAAAAGCATGTGGACCAAAGTAGTGGGATTTGTAGAAACTGTTATTTTTCTGAAATTGATAAAATCTTCCTATTGCAATATTTCCATGACCTTATTAATTAACCAAGTCTTGCAAACTTGTTTTAGCAAAGGAAGTAGAACTGAATCAAAGATACAGAGAAAGCACACTGGTTGAAGAAATATAAGGTTGATTTAAAAAATAATCTTCTGATTGCAACCAAAATTTAAAAACTATTTTGGAGGTTCAAAACATCACAACCTATGACAATTATCTTCATATTCACAGCTTGGACATGTTCACTACCTGTATGTCATGTAACAGACAGTCAGCAGAATCGTGTTGCTAAGGAAACACCTCTAGCATAAACATAAAAGGCGTAACAGGTTCAAAGGGCTCCAGGGAATTATTATAAAGTCATAAAACCTGCCAAATAATTGGAACAATAAAAGTGGAAAATTAATTTCAAGCAAGACTAAACATTTCAACTGACTGCTGACAGGCTTTTAAAGAGTGTACACATAGACAAGGAAAAAGAGGTGAGGACTTTTAAAGATCCAAGTGGCTAATTAATGGAGACTGAAGCCAAATGCAAGCATTGGGAGAATAGCAGAAAAATTTGGTTTCTGGTTTCACAAAAGAGGATTTACCTTAATCAAATTTATTAGTAAGAAGGATGAAGGTGCAGGGAACAGGCTCCTTGAAGCAGTTAAAAATGGACCAATATTCTAAGCATTGCAATTTGATGTCTTTCTTCGTCCAAGTAAAATATAACTAGGGTGTTAAAGGAAGTAGAGACAGAAATAGGAGACCTTTTTATGAATAGTTTTACAAGTGCACTTAGTTCTAGAGAGACCCCCTAGGATTAACCAATGTGATGGAATTATTTTTAAAAGGTCTGGGAATGTACCAAGTGACTTGCATGCCAGTTGACATCACTCATAAGAAAAGTGCTAAAAGGTGTTTTGAGGGTCAAATGAAGAAACATTTGGAAGCTTACTTGCTTGATGAAGGAATGCCAACTGATTTTTTCATATGGGAGAGAAATGCTTCATTAACTTGTCAAAGTGTCAGAAAGGTATTATTTCTGTGGAAGAAAAGAGGTGTTATAACATATCCTTAGCATTTCTATAGTAGGCAATTTACTGAAACGCTCTACTGGGGTTAAAACGATCTCCTCTCTTAAAAGTGGCATAATGGGAAAATTGGTAGATTGAATTGAAACTTGCTAAATTGTACGAAACAGAAGTTATTTGGCAATTGAATCATTGCTAGTTCAGAAAATCACCCTCTAGAGGACTTAATTTTGGCAGCCATGAGAATAGCTTCCTCTTTTTAGACAAAATCTATGTAAAATCTCCCTAGGCACTGTGTGCATACAAAATCATATAGTACATGAGGTGTGACAAACTTATTTTTTAATAAAACTTATTTTGAAATAAAACTTAAAAACTTACACACTAAGGAAAAGTTAGTTCCATCAAAGTCATCAACTTGGCAGGCTTCATACTCATTTCAGGGATGCCGCCTTTGGACAACTCATTCTTGGAATTTCTCATGTGGAATTGTCCCACAAGACCATGCAAACCTTGAAAATTGTATTTCACGTAAAAATTTTTCATGCTTTGAGCAAAAATATTATATTTGGGAAAGGTCCAAAGAAATCAGAGGCTCATCTGGTAAAGAAAGTGAGTGATTAAACTGTTATTAATTTTTTTTTTAAATGAGGTATAACTGTTAAGTAAAGAAAGCGATATTCTTTTGTGGCTTGTAACCTGATTTTCAAAGTAACTCCTAAAACATTTTAAACATGTTTTGATCAGTCAGTTATGCTTGTAATGGGACTAAAGATTTTCAAGGTGACTGCCTTGAAGGACAGTTTTAGAATTGGTAGCTGGTATGCTGATTAGAAAACCAGTCTCATGGTGTTTTAACTTATAAAGAGAGAGAAGTAGAACAATATTGATGTCTAGTAAAAATTCCTTGGTGATTTTAAGAAATGAGAGCAATATATTTTAACATTTTTATAGAAAAGGAAAAAGCCAAATTTTGGTTGTGATTTGCTATGGTGAGAAGAGCATGGTACCTACTAGAAGTCCAGAAGTGAAGCTATGTGAACTTGGGTAAGTCACTTTGACATCTTTTAGTATCTGCTTTTATCTTAAAAATTGGATTATTTTTACTTTTGGACAATGACCAAAATATTATTGTCCCATTTGAAAAACATATGCACACACACCCGTTAAAGGGTGATTGTGAAGTTCAAATGAGATACTGTATGAAAAAGCATTTTGAGAATGCTAATGCACAGTATATATAATGTATTGTAATTTCAGAGAAAATATTTTATTAAGCAAAAATTAGAGGCATATAATGATATCAGACTTTGTTCTGCATCCTGACTTCCTTCCAACGTTAAGCTGTTGCTTTCATTTTTACATAAACAGAAGCATGGACTTTGTCACAGCTTTTTCATACATAAAAGAAAGAGAGATGATACTTGCCTTTGAATTATCACGTGAAAATACAATGGAGTATTAGCAGAAATACTTGGAAATAAAGGCCTTGCATAAGTGTAAATTTACATTGCCAAGTGAAATGGCTTGGCAAGTGCCTGGCACACAGTTTACAATACATTCTATTTATTATCGATATTCTTAGGATTCATGGACAATGGTTTGTCATTGAATGTCATACTTGTGAATTTACATATCCAGAACTCAGATTTGAGCAGATTTTCCAGTAAAAGTACTGATATTTTATTTTTTTAATACTTTAACTGTAGTCCAAGAGATCCTAGAGATGGGAAAAATAAAGTTCCCTTTAGCAGTAGAAAAATTCACTACGTGATGGAAAATTTGACTTGAATAACATGAATTACGTTGGACACAAAAGATTGAGAACAAAGGACTTTAGCTTCAGATTTCTAAATTACATATTAAAATTGGGCATATTACAATAATAGAAGCATCATGCAAATGCTTGGAACTTGAGATATTTTGCATTTGACGTGAAAAAAATGATTGAGACCTCTGAATAATGAAATTTTGTCATTACTCGCTCTTCTCTATTAGTGGCTCAGGCTGATACGTGTTGTAAATAATCCTTTGATGCCCAGGAAAAGATGTTGAATAGTCTCGATGTAGTTAGGAAAACAGCAATAATACATCTTCTTAGACAAGAAGCCATCCGTTTCTCCAGTGTTCTCCACTGTGCATCCAATAATTCTCTGTGCTCGATTTTGCCATGTGAAAATTCAAGCTCTGAGATACAGTGAGAAAGAATGAGAGAATGTTTGGGACACAGGCTGATACCTCACTACAGCTAACTATTATAATTTTGTTTAACAAACTCCGAAATCTATCTTGGCTTCAGCACACCAAGAAGCTGGATATAATATATCACATGTTAGGAGTTCTTCCTCTACCTCATGAAATGTTTCAAACATGAGTCCATGTTTTCTGAATCTAGTGGTAAAGAATGGGAATTATTGTTTTATGGGCTGAGAGCTCACACCTCATTTCACAGACGTTTCATGAAGTGCCCAACTAGTTATCATAAGACCCAAACTCTACTTCTTGGTTCAGGTAGAGATGTTCTGAATGGACATGAATAAGAGAAATAACTTTATCTAGATATAGAATTTGGAGAGGGAGGAGGTATTTACTAAATGCAACAAAATTAGGGAAATTTTTATTAGGTAGAATTCAATCCATCAAGATACCAATGTAAAAAAATAAACAGCAGCGGTGTTTGAATTTGGGATTAATGAAGTGATTTATTTAATATGCCTAAATCTTAAAACAGAATAATACCTATGTTAGTTTCATTATAAATTAATTTAAACACACAATTTAAAAAAATTAGATACTTCTTCATGGACTAATGATATTGCTAGGGACTGGAGATAAGACTAGAGGGGCCAAGAAGGAGGCTTTTCTGATCAGTTGGGACTCTCATTTTTTGTGTTATCATAGTTCTTCCCTTTTTTGCCTGGCAATCCCATGGAAATCTTGGAATTGTCTCTTTTCAGTTTCAGGTCTTTATTCTAATTTTTTAATGCAATTGATCAAATTATAGTCTTTATCAATTAATTTATACAATCACTTTGCTTCACCCTTATATACTCTGCAGAAATCCTGACTGCTCAACCTAATAAATCATTTTAGTGTGTTTACTTGACCTGGTAGATCTCTGAACAATTGTTTATCTGTGTATCTATGTCAACGTATTTTCTGCTTTCTACTTTCTCTGGTTCACTATGTGAAGGTAGGGTTTATAATTCATTTTCTTTAGTGGGAAAGTGATTTGTGTTTGAGATCCATACAGGAAATGGATGCTCAATAAATAAAAGACTGCTTTGATTACATGTAACAGAAAACTAAGGATGTCTTAAACCATTAGGATGTTTAAGTTGATGAATAGGAAGCCCAGAAGTAGGCTGTATGGAAATGGTTAACTAGCTTGGTGATGTCAGCAAAGAATCCAGGCACTTTCAGCCTGTGTCAGGATGCTGGCCTTGTCCTTTGGCTCAAGTGCAGTCACAGAGGACTGCTAAGGCTCCTGGCACTAGTCCCAGTGTAATGGCATCTAGAGAAAAAAGAAAGAGCAGGGGTTAAATGGGATCACTCAACTTGTGTATCTCTTTTTTAAGGCTGGAATATTTTCCAGAAGCAATCAGATTTTTTCTACGTAGTATTTTCCAGAATTATGTCTCATGGACCCCTGAGCTACAAAAATGGCTGGAAAAAATAAATTTCTATTACTTCTAGACTCCCTGACCTGAGAGAAGGTTTAGGCTATTGAATGGGTAACTAAGGATTCATATCAATTACAGGCCAGGCACAGTGACTGACACCTGTAATCCCGGCACTTTGTGAAGCCAAGGTGGGAGAATCACTTGAGGCCAGGATTTTGAGATCAGCCTGGCCAACATGGCAAAAACCCATCTCTCAAAGAAAAATAAAAGTTAAAAAATATTTATATCAATTACAATAATTTTGTTTTAATTTCCTGTTATACATAAATGTCCCCCTTTCAGCCACAGCAGAACACTTCTAATATCTTTTAATGTCACGAGAGTTACATATACCCATGCCTCTGTTCTCTATTCATTTCTAAACTGTGTCATACAGAACTATAACAATTCTTAATTGTACAGTTATGTGGATAAACACATAAATTTTCATGTACTAGAAATGGATGTTTTGCTGTATCTCACATATACATAATGTGTAATTGATATATATTTTAAAAAATTAAGAGCAGAAACTGATCCAACACTGGAATTTCTCTGAATATCACTGGATAAATGTTCATTGCTACAATTAAAGCAAAAATTAAAGTCTACACTTGATTAATGTAGAAACAAAAATGTTTTAATAAAAATAGCTATTGCAGTCATATATAAAATAATATGAATATATATAAAAGTAATATTAATATAATAATGAATTAATAAATAATTCAGGAACTGTTCAAGGAAATGAAGACACAGGAATGAACAGAACAGGTGAGACTTCATAGACCTTCTATTCTGTAGGAAAAACAGACAATAAACAGATAAGTAAATACACAGTATGTCAGATGATGTTAGGTGCTTGTAAAGAAAAATAGCAGAGAATGCTGTTTTGGGTGGGTGGGTGGGTGTGTAAAGACTGTTACTATTTTATATAAGGTGACAACAAAAGGGCTCATAGGTGAGATTCCTCACAGATTAATATTCTGAAAGAGGTGAGGGAACAAGGGAACAAAGGGAAGTGACAAAGACAGAAGTCAAGAGAAAACTTGGCCTCTTTAACACACAGGAATACATAGTAACTTCAAAGACTTTGCTGAATGGAGTGTTACATAAATGAATGAACACATATAAATAACACTTAGGTATGCTTGCCTATTGGTCTGTTGTTAAACACCAATTCTTCATTATAAGGGTACTGGTGAAATGAATTTTTTAAAAGTTTTTTTTAGATTCTAGGGATTTGTATATAGGTTTATTACATGTATAAATTGCATGATGCTGAGGTTTGGGCTTCTAAAAGATCCCGTTGCCTGAGTAATTAACATAGCACCTGATGGGTGGTTTTCCAACCCATTTCCCTGCTCCCTTTTCCCTCCTCTTTAGGAATCTTCAGTGTTTATTGTTCCTATCTTTGTATCCATGTGTACCCAGTGTTTAGCTCCCACTTACAAGTGAGAACATGTAATATTTGGTTTTCCGTTTTCAGCATTAATTCACTTAGGATAATGGTTTCCAGTTACATCCATGTTGCTGCAATGGACATGATTGTGGTTTTTTTTAATGGCTGCATAGTATCCCATGGCATATATGTACCACAGTGTGAAGTGGACTTTTTAAGGAAAATTCTGTCCTCATTCAATCTAGGTCATTTTCTTTGTCTGTAGACCCAGTTCTTTGTTATCTACTGGTTTTCTTATCATACAGTTACTATTTTGAGTACATATTATGTGCTGGATAGAGTGTAAAATGGTTAAGACACAAATCTTACTTAATGATTTTCTCAGTCTTACATACTGAGATACATCAAGAGTAACTTTTCCAATTTCAAAGCCAAACAGAATTAGAACTTTGTTTCTTAAATGATGCCACATTTCAAACTAATTCACTAAAGCTCAGACTGAACTTATAATTTTCTTGTATTTAGTATCACATGCAAATTGAAAAAGGTATCTCCATGTCTATAGTTGTTAAACATTTAGAATTTAGGTAAACTTCATTAATTTCTCTAGGTATATGGTTTTAAAATTATATTCCTTGGAGCATTATTGCAAAAGGTATTAATACTTTTTATATGAAAAAGTAGTTCCATGGTCAGATAATTTTTTAAGAACACCAGATTATAGAAAGGTAAACAGGCTACTTGAATATATGGCTTCCCAAAGCCTTTACATACTCCATGAAATGAACTTCTCCAAATTATTGGATTATGGAAGGACTGTTTATGAAAGACCTCTGAGTGTCTCAATGAACTAGTTTATGTGATACACAGTTCTTGAAATTATACTTTGGTTATGTCGGTTTCTATGAGATACTATTCAAGTCCATGCAGTGCAGGAGGTTTACTATGTGATATGGTTTGGCTGTGTCCCCACCCAAATCTCATTTTGAACTGTAGCTCCCATAATTCTCATGTGTCCTAAGAGGGACTCACTGGGTGATAGTTGAATCATGGGTGTGGGATTTTCCTGTGCCATTCTTGTGATAGTGGTTGGTTTTATAAAGGGCAGTTCCCTGCACATGCTCTCTTGCCTGTTGCCATGTAAGACATGCCTTTGCTTCTCCTTTGCCTTCTGGCATGACTGTGAGGCCTCCCCAGCCATGTGGAATGTGAATCCTTGAAACCTGTTTTTCTGTATAAATTACCCAGTCTCAAGTATTTCTTCATAGCAGTATGAAAATGGACGAATAGAGTAAATTGGTACCAGAATAATGGGGTGCTGCTCTAAAGATGTCCCCAAATATGGAAGCAACTTTGGAACTGGGTAACAGGCAGAGGTTGGAAGAGTTTAGAGGGCTCAGAGGAAGATATAAAAATGTGGGAAAGTTTGGAACTTCTTAGAGACTTATTGAATGGCTTTGACCAAAATGCTGATGTGATACGGAAAATAAAGTCCAGGCTGAGGTGGTCTCAGATGGAGGTGAGTAACTTGTTGGGAAATGGAGTAAAGGTCACTCTTGCTATGCAGAGAGATTGAAGGCATTTTGTCTCTGCCCTAGAGATCTGTGGAACTTTGAACTTGAGAGAGATTGTTTAGGGTATCTGGCAGAAGAAATTTCTAAACAGCACAGTGTTCAAGAGGAGGCAGAGCATAAAAGTTTGAAAAAAAAATTTTTTTTTCAGACAGAGTTTTGCTCTTATTGCCTAGGCTGGAGTGCAATGGCGCAATCTTGGCTCACTGCAAAAATTTGCAGGCTGATGATGCATTAAAACAGGCAAACCCATTTTCTGGGGAGAAATTCAAGCCAACTGCTGAAATTTATATAAGTAACAAGGAGCCATATGTTAATCACTAAAACAATGGGGATAATGTCTCCAGGGCATGTCAGAGACCTTCACAGCAGCCATCACAGACCTGGAGGCCTAGGAGGAAAAAATGGTTTTGTGGTCTGGGCTCAGACCCGCCCCCCTTACTGTGTGCAGGTTAGGGACTTAGTGCCCTGCATCCCAGCTGCTTCAGCCATGGCTAAAAGGGGCTAAGGTACAACTTGGACTGTAGCCTCAGAGGGTGAAAGGCCCAAGCCTTGGCAGCTAGGTTTTGGTGCTGAATCTGAGGATGCATAGAAGTTAAGAATTGAGGTTTGAGAACCTCCACCTAGATTTCAGAGGATGCAGGAAAATGCCTGATGTCCAGACAGAAGTTTATTGCAGGGGCAGGGCCCTCATAGAGAAACTCTGCTAGGGCAGTGTGGAAGGGAAATGTGGGGTTGAAACCCCCAAACAGAGTCCTCACTTGGTCACTGCCTAGAGGAGCTATGAGAAGGCCACTGTCCTCCAGACCCCAGAATGGTAGATCCACTGACAGCTTGCATTGTGGGCCAGGAAAAGCTCAGACACTCAATGCCAGGCTGTAAAAGCAGGTGGCAGGGGGTCTGTACTCTGCAAAGCCATAGAGGTAGAGGTGCCCAAGGCCATTGGAGCCCACTTCTTGCATCAGTGTGACCCAGATGTGAGACATGGAGCCAAAGGAGATTATATTGGAGCTCTAAGTTTTGACTGCCTCATTGGATTTCAGACTTGCATGGGGCCTGTAGTCTCCTCATTTTGGCTGATTGCTCCCATTTGGAACAGGTGTATTTTTCCAATGCCTGTATTCCCCTTGTATGAAGGAAGTAACTAACTTGCTTTTGATTTTACAGGTTATTAGGTGGAAAGGACTTGCCTTGTCTCAGATGAAACTTTGAACTGTGGACTTCTGAGTTAATGATGTAATGAATTAAGACTTTGGGGGACTGTTGAGAAGGCATGCTTGGTTTTGAAATGTGAGGACATGAGATTTGGGAGGGGTCAGGGGCAGAATGATATTGTTTGGCTGTGTCCCTACCCAAATCTCATCTTGAATTGTAGCTCCCATAATCCCCATGTGTTGTAGGTGAGTTCTGGTGGAAGGTAATTGAATCATGGAGTGAGTTTTGACCATGTTGCTCTTGTGATAGTGAATAAGTCTCATGAGATCTGACAGTTTTATAAAGGGCAGTTCCCTTACTCATGCTCTTTTGCCTGACACCATGTAAAATGTGCCTTTGCTCTTCCTTCACCTTGTCTGCTATGATTGTGAGGGCTCCCCAGTCATGTGAAAGTGTGAGTCCATTAATCCTTTGTATAAATTACCCAGTCTCAGGTATTTCTTCCTAGTAGTATAAAAATGGACAAATACACTATGCTTCAGTTAGAATGCATTCTAGCTATTGCGTATATAAAAAAATCTTTCTTGCACTTCCTTAATTTGGAAGAGCTCCTATAACTTGAATTTAGATGGTAAAATAATTACATCAAAGACAAGCATCATCTAGAAGCTTTCCCCCCTTTAGCATTGATTTGTAGGTTACATTTAGAAATACCCATTTCTTTAATTCTTTCCTACCATTTTCAGTTACTTGGAATAAAGAGGAGATAAAGATATGTCCACTTTATCCTTCTTTATAGGTTGCTGTTTAACTGTTTCTTACCTATCTGTGTGCAGTTTAGGTCTTCTCCATCTGACCCAATAGTCTTTAGCCAGCTTCAAGTAGGGCTATTTTAATCCCACATGTAACATGTCACAGTTTACTCTGAGAGCAAATGCTATCATTTTATATTTGGCTTGTAAATGAGACTTCTGTTCATTAGTGATACGTAGTTGGGGCTTTGAGGAGAAGCTCATTTTTATGTA